GAACAATCGGAGAGGATCTGACACTTACACTTGGTGTTGGGCCAGCACCTGAACAATCTCATCCATCTGTCTCGTGTACTAGGTTTTCCTACCCACTCTTGCCCAGATTTCCAGGGTCATGTGCACCATTTTGATGTGTACATTACAGTCCTACCGTGAAACCGGTTCATTCCACATGGTAGAAATGAAGTGACTTTGGAGGGAATTTCTTACAGAGGTATGACCCAGGCCAAGGAAACAAATAGGATGCTGAGGCAACCAGTAACTAGCAGCAGTGGGAAGCTGTTACTACCCTGCTGACTTGGAAAGTGAAGGGGAAAAGAGTCTTACTCATACATACAGCTTGTATGAGCTGGAGTCATTGAGGAACTGTACTTCTGGAGGGATGCAGCCAAGCCCAGAGGTATGTTGGAAAGAAGAACGAGAGAGGAAGAAATATCCTGAACTCCCTCTTTCCACCTGCTAGTCACCTGCCAGTGTCTCTCATTGCTGAAATCCAGCCAGATTCCAGCTGGCCAGCTTGGCTGATGGAGTCCATAGAGGTCAGCCTCCTGAGCACAGGACAGAGAATTACTTTCCTTCCATCCCAGCGATACCAGGCAAAGTCCTTTCTCTGACTCACTTCAGTTCTATGTCTTGGGCTCAAATTCCAAATCCTGTACAATAAGCCATTCTCTTGGCTCTGAGTTTTCTGTCCCTAAAGTTCTTTTTACAGTGAAGCTTCCCTGCTATGAGGAAAATGGAAGATTGATGAATAGGCGTGTCCTAGTATGCTTGCATGTCAATTCTGGATACTTAAGCCAGTTTTCAAGATCTGCAATGCTCCAATGTAAGGCTGAGTATGAGCCAGACCTGGTGATGGAGGACCAGAAGTACAGACTGAGAGAAGCAGTGGTGAACTACATACTGCTCCAGGGTACCTGTGCTACCTGTGGCACCATGCCCTCTGAAGAACAAGATTCACGTCTTGGGCATCTAAATATCAGACCATTCTAAAAAGTCTTTGACAGTGTGAGAACAGAATCTAGAACCAGACTGCTTGGATTCAATTCTATACACCACCACTTACTGGCTGGCTGACCCTTGAACAAGTTGTTTAACTCTTCTAAGTTTCATCTGTAATATAAGCACAATAGTAGTACCTACCTCATGGGATTGTTGTGAGGACAAATTGAGTCAATCCATAAGGTAGATTTTAGACCCTCTGTTACACTATTATTACCACATAAAAACAAAATTTAGAAACATTGTAGGGCCAAATGATTTTTACCAAAAAAATTTTTGGAAAATGCATTAAAGTGGAAGAAGTGTACACAGATGATAGGAACTCAAATAACAGGAAATATAAAGAATGTAATTGAGGGAAGTATATTCATCTGCAGTAGTTTTACATTTTAGATTAATCATGAATCAGTCTGTTGTAGTGAAACTTTGTACCATTAAGTTGGTGCATATTTATTGACAACCTACTCTACCTAGGAGAATGTGTTATGACTTCACACCTTACAAAATTCACATTTCTCTCAAAAGAGGATTACATCCTTTTAGGATTTGACTAAATATTGGAGATATTTTTAAAAGCCACTTTAAGAATATTTTCTAAGATTTTATTTCTTCATTGCAAAAATTAGGGAACAATATCCCTGTGTGACAAGATTGTTCTGAAGGAAAAATGCAAACTGTTGGCACATCATTCCCAATAAATATTAGCAATCATTATTACCTGTGATTTCACCTTTGAAAACTTTGATAGGATTAAAAATACAGTCAATATTTTAACTTCTTTGGGACTTGGTTTACATTCTTGAAAAATCAAACTATAAATGTTAATATATATGAATTCATTTATAAAAATTAGTATTATACATGGAGGTATACACTACTGCTGTGAAATAATCTCAAGACAAAATTAAATTTTACCAAATCTCTAGATCCAACTACCAAGACATAGAAAATATAGAGGATATAAGAACATGTTAAATAACACCATGGTGATGTATTCAACAGAATCAAGGGTGTTATAGATTTCGTTTCATTTCCTCAAAATTTGTATTTCAAAGTCCTAACCTCCAATGTGACTGTATTCGGAAATAGGGCCTTTAAGAAATTAATTAAGATTAAATGAGAACATAAAGGTATAGCCCTAATCTGATAGGACGATTGCCTTTAGAAGAAGAGGAGACAGCAAAGGGAATGTACTTCCCCCTACCCCTCTGCTTGTGCCCACAGAGGAAGGGCCATGTGAGGACACAGTGGGAAGTTAGCTGTCTGCCAGTCAGGAAGAGCAGCCTCACTATAAACCAAGCATGCTTTTACCTTCGTCTTGGAATTCTAGCCTGGAGAGCAAGGAGAAAATAAATTTCTGCTGTTTAGGCTACCTGGTATGTGATATTTTCTTATGGCAACTCAAGCAGATGAATACCGTAGGAAACTCTACAGGACAAATAACCAGTTTCTTCAATAAATAAGTTACAATGGAAAGAAACAGAGCATGAAAGAGCAATAGATGAAGGGGCACCTTAAAGATTATAGGGACTTAACAGATGCATCCGCCAGTTGTAATTTACAGACTCTATTTAGACCGTGATTCAAACAAACTGCAAAGAAGGAAAGGAGACAGAGACAGAGATGACCACACTGTGACATTTACAAGACAAGTATGGACACTGACTGGATATGTTAGGATATAAAGGAATTTTTAAGTTTCTTTAAGGTGTGACCAAGTTATTATGGCTCTTTTTAAAAATTTATTCAGATATGTACTGAAATTTTTACAGATAAAGCAATATGATATCTGCTTAAAAGAATATGGAGGGTAATGGTGACGGAATAAATGAAACAAGATTGGCCGTGAGTTGTTGAAGCTGGTGATGGGTTCTTGTGAGTTCATTATATTATATTCTCTATGTTTGTGTATGTTTGAAATTTTCTGTAATAAAAACTACAAAAGTAAGAGTAATAGTTTTCTATTTTAATTTCTATTAGTACATGTCTGCAGCACATAATGATGACAGTCATCACGGCATTAGTACATGCACATAACACATCCTCATTTTCTCCACATTTCCCTCCCTTCCCCTACCCTCCCTCTCTTGGTTCTCTTCCCATTTGCAAAAGATCAATCACCTTGTTTCCCATTATCTGTCTTTTATTCTGCTCTTAAACATTGGGTTTCTCATATAAAAGAAATCATGTGATTTTTTTTTTTTGGTACCAGGGATCGAACTTGGGTCCTTGTGCTTGTGCAGCAGGAGGCGAAACCACTGAGCTAAATCCCTGGCCTGAAACCATGTGATTTTTAACCTTGTATGTCTGATTTATTTCACACGACATTGTGGTCTCAAGGTGCATCCATTTTCCTACAAATACCTTAAGTTTATCTTTATGGCAGACTAGTACTCCATTGTGTGTAAATACCACATTTTCTGTATCCATTCATCTGTTGATTGACATTAGGCTGCTTCCAAGATTTAGTTATTATGAGTTGTGCTGCTATAAATATGGGTATGCATGTATTATTGTAATGTGATATCTAAAAGAGTAACACATTTCATAAAAATAGAGAAATCATTTGACCATGTGGCTTCCTATGGAAGCATGGGAGATGTTTTTTCTCTTTAGTGACCCTCCTTTGAGCACAATGCACACTGGTTGACTCCTGTTCTCTAGGGTCCAGCAATTTCCCTGCTCAGGAGATTTAGCCACTGAGCTAAATCTCTGGCCCTGTTATTTTTACCAGTCATGGTCACCATAGAAGTCAAAATCCTGTAGAATATTAACAGATAACAATTATAAAGTTTTATAGAGAAGATTTAAAATCAAGTTTAACAGCATTTTAGCATGATAATCATGATGACATTATATTAAAACCATTAGATTTTATTATTGCTGAAACACATTTTTTTCTTTTCTTTTTATTTATTTTTAATAGCAAAACATTTATAGGTATGTTCTAGGCATACACAACGGTAACACTCATAGGGAATTTGCACATGTGCACGATACATTCTGCTCCTTTTTTCCCACTCCTTCCTCCCTCCTCCCCACCAGCCCCTCCATGTACAAAAGTTTTGTTTCCATTTTTCCTTCTATTTTCACTTTTTTCTTATCCCTTCCTTCTTTTCTCCCTCCCCCCCATTTGTTCCTCTTCCCATTTGAACACTTTCTTCCCATTTCCCAATATCTCTTATACATTTTAGTCCTTATTTCCACTTGATTTCTCATACCAGAGAAACAATACAGTATTTAAACATGTGTATCCAATTTATTTCACTTAAGAGTACGGTCTCAAGGTCTGTCCATTTAGCTATAAATGTCTGAAGCGCATTCTTCTTTATGGCAGAGTACTATCTGAAACACATTTAAATCTCCATTTTAGTAAAAAATAACCCTTTAGTCAGTAACCTTTATCTAATTACAAAATATTAAATTACATAAAGAATTTTTTTACCTAAATTTGTTATCTTTTTTTTTTTTTTTTGAGACATGGTCTCACTATGTAGTTCAGGCTGGCACTCACTGTGTAGTCCATGCTGGCCTCAAACTCATGGTGATCCTCCTGCCTCAGCCTCCCGAGTGCTGGGATTTCAGGTGTGCACCACCTTGCCCAGCTAGATTTGTTATCTTTTAACCATCCTTTGTTACCAAAGTGACATTTACGTAGAATGTACTTCTGTATTGTTTATAGATATACTTTGCATATTATTAATGCCTAATCTCTGATCATTTCAGTGACAATGGCTGGACTGCACAGTGCTTAGGTACCTCTAACTGTTATAACACAATTACATAACAGTCACACAACCATAAGCCTGAAAGTGTATCTGCATCATCTGGCTGGCTGCTTGAGGTCAGAATTTTAGGTGAAATAAGTCAGACATGTAAGCTTAAATATCACATGGTTTCTCTTGTGTGAGAAACCCAATATATAAAGTGCAAAATAAAAGACAGACAACAGGAGAAAGAAAAGAGAAAAAAGTTCCTATAGTCCAGCTTGGCCAATGTATCTAAAAGTGAATCTTGATTTACTATAATTGTCTCATATATTTTATGTGTCTTTGGCTTGTTAGTCTGATTGTTAACCTGTGTTTATGATGATTAATCTTATAAGGACTTATAAATAAATGAATCTGATGCTGGCAAAAAAGGGATATAGGGGAAGGAAGAAAAAAGAATTGAGATGTGTTATGTACCTGTACCCATTCTCCACAATGAATGTAATCATTACACACAAACATATACTAAAAACACTTTTTAAATCCAGGCTGCCCCAGGTGGCATTTCTAATAGAACGCTCTGTAAAGCTGGGACCCCATGTGCTGTGACACTGGGGGGACCTCTGTCTCAAAGAAAAACGGTGGGCATGGAACTTGTAACCACCGTCTGAGCTGCAGAATGTGGGGAAGCACATCTATCATCTTTTTTCAAGGAACTAAACAGCGTACGTATAAACCTGTAGTAATTGGCTTCCTTTCATACTTTCCCTCTCTGTCTCTGTCTCCCTTTCCCCTTTCTCCTCTTCCAGGGCAAAGATGACCCCTACATAATGGTGAGGGATTAATTTACCCACAAGATAAAACATATATATCTAATAATATATACAGATCCTTGAGGAAACATGGACATTCGCCTTTATACTGCAGACTTTAATATACTTGAATAATTTATATCACACACACAAATCACTAAAGACATACATCTGAATAACACAGCTTTTTAATGAGCTTAGACAGACTGCATCCATGGTGAAGACCTACTGATTTGAAGCACACGTGGACTATTTATGAAGTTTGTCATGTAATTGTCCATGACCCATTTGACACATTTCAAAAGATGGGCTTCAGATAGGGATGGAACAAGAGGATTTCGGCTGTGAGAGTAACACTGGGCACCCAAAGGCCTTAAAATCCATGTGGTAGGGTGGGAAGTGGAGAGTGGAGTCGGTTGGGGGGGAGATAAACTGCACAGGCAGGTCAGAGCCAGGAGCTGGGCCACAAGAAGCAGGGACTGTGGGGGATCCAGGCTCTGAAGAATGACACACTTGGGAGTGCCTGGTCCTGTGACATAAGAGATGTGTGACTGAATTGCTCAGCTTTTTCTATTCTCTCTCCATTCAGAAGTGTGGACAGTGATGCCTGGCCCCCAGACTTATTCGATAGGAACTAAGCAGCTATCACAAAGTTTCCACCATACAGCACATTGGTGTAGGGCACCTTGGCTTCTGTAGTGATGCTCAGGGCCCATAGGGAAGGCTCTAGGAGCCACGCAGCACTAGGCAGGCAGATGGGAGGAGTCTGGACCAAGCAGCACCTTTGCAGACCTTGACTGTGGGAGGCAGCCTCCCATCTGCCTCCATGTTGGGTCCTCAACTACTGGTAATCACATCCTGTGTAGTCCCTGCCACGTTATGCTAGGGTCAGTCTGTGTGGCCAGGAGCGTACAGCAGAAGTGACAGTGTAGCACTTCCGGTGTCGGGGCATAAAAGACCACAGCTCAAGTTGTAGTCTTAATCATTCATTCCCCACCTCCTCCCTCCCTCCTTCCCTCCCTCCCTATCCCAGACTGCCTTGCTCTGAGAGAAAGGAGCTGTTCTGTCAGGAAAACTCAGGAAGCCTGTGGGAAGACCCAGTGGTGAAGAACTGAAGTCTCCAGCCAGCAGTCAGCAAGAAGCTGGGGTCTGGCAACACCTGTGTGAATGAGCTTGGAGATGAGTGCCTTGGCCTGAACCATGCAGTTTGGATGGTGGAATACAAGTCAGGTGAGCTGCTCCTCCCTCCCCCTCCTCCTCCGTCTTCCCACTGGATCTCAGTTCCTGATGCCCACAATAGCCTTGAGGGGGGCGGGCAGCACACCCACCTCTCCGCCCTCAGGCTTCGGAGGAAGCTTCCCCTCTCCTTTCCCCTCTGGCTCCTCTAGACAAAGGGCTTCGGGGTGACTCACTGCAGCTTCCTCCTCTGGGGCAGGCAGAGGGAGGTGTCCCGGGCCCTTCAGGACTCCAGGTGGCTCCGGGTGTCAGAGAAGCCCGAGACACTGGACTCTTGTCCTCTGTGCCAGATGGAGGCGACTGGGCCAGGCTCGTCCAGCACACTGCAGCTTGGATGTGCTGTCTGGCTCCCTCATAAAGCTGGTTAAGCTTGCCTGGCTGATCCCCTGTTATCAGGAAGTCCACGTCCTTCAAGGCCTGGGGGCTGCTCATGGATCTCCACTGAAAATGTGAGGAGACACATAAAATAGACACTTACTTGGAAACATGCCAGACGTTTTTCTTGGTGGTGGTCACTGCCGCCTTCTTCTGCAGCAGATCTCCCAGCCCACACCTCCTGTCCATCTGAAACTGTTCCCTTTGTCCAACAGCTCCCCTTGCCCTCCCTAAAGTTATGACTTAACAACTGAAAATGCCATCATTGAGACACAAATAACATATAGGCAGCACTGCTGGACTCTCCCCACCCCTCCTGGTTTTTCTGGTCTCTGCTGTCCACTATTTACACTGGCACCACCTTGTCAATGACCCTGGGGTTTCTGCCAGGCTGGCAGGCAAGGGAAGCACAGGGCCAGCAGGTGGGCTGCAGTCCTTTTCACTGCCTTCCAGACCTGCCTTCCATTGCTGGCAGGTGGAGGAGGTTGTGCAGGAGCTGGGGCAGGATGCCTCAGGGCTGGGCTCCTGCAGACTTGAATGGGAGGCCGGGAGCCTCTGCCTCCCTGCTGCCCTGGGTGCTTCACCCTGGGGAGGAAGGGGTCAGTGTGACTACAGGCTCAATGGCCCTTGTCCTTGGAAGGAGAGCTAAGGGGGCAGGATCTGGGGAGGATGATGGCACCACTTCCTCATCTACAGACCAGAGGCATCAATTTCCTGTGGCCTGGTATTCCAGGAGCAAAAACATGGCCATCCACAGTGATTCCGTGATGTTTAGGGGGTCATACCCCATCTGGGTCACGATGCCCAGGACTATGGTCTTCCTATGCTTGGGGAGTGGCTCAGGAGGATTACCCCAGCAGAGCCACAGGTGCTGCAAAGTCTATTTTAGGGTTGGCCACTTCGTGGGGTTGTGGTCGAGGAGCTTGTGGATTAGGTTTTGGAGGTCCAAAGAAAGGAAATGAGAGAATTATCTTCCTGCCTGGATCTGATGTGCCAGATGTCTGTCCCACCGGGGAGTGACCCACAACAAGCTCATAGAGCATAGTGCTGAGGCTGCAAACATCCACCTGTGGGCCTTGGTACGGTTTTTCTGAGAATCACTTGGGGGCAGCATGCCATGTTGTGAAGCCACCCGAGGTCACATTCTGCCCAGGAACAAACTTATTTCCTAAACCAAAGTCAGTGATCTTGATACTTCCTTTGGAGTCCGATAATATATTCTGGGGTTTGAGTTCTCTGTAGACAAAACCCCAGCCATGGCAGTGCTGCTTGGCACCCGCAGTGTGGAGGAATAATCTCCAGGCCTCTTTCTCCTTCACTGAATAAGCCCTCCAGATGTGTTCCCTCTGGTCTCCTCCACTCACACATTCTTCTACAAGGTAGAGTTTGTCTTGGGTTTCGATGACCTCCAGCAATTGGATGATTGTGGGGTGCTGTAGCTCCTTTAAGACCTCTACCTCAGCTATAATGATGATGGGTTTCAGTTTCTCCTTTTGCAGCACCTTAATAACCACTGATGTCCCAGTGGCAAGATGTTCTGGCAGCAGGACCTCGGCAAAGCCACCACAGCCAATGGTGTCCAGCACTTGATATTCATCAGTGAGGTTCTTTCCATGGGAACTGGCTGTGGGGCTCAGCCCTCATGATCAACATCCAGACTGGGCATCCTGGTGGAACAAACCTCCAGAAGCTCCACAACACCAAACCAATAACCACAAACATGCTGTCCACAAACCCCAGATCATCAGTCAGAGAATCTCCAGAACAAAACCCTGCTCCAGCCATGGCCTATGTACTGTATAGCTCGAAAGTGACCTCGCTGGCTCCTGTGAGGCAGACCATGAACTGGCCCAGACACAGCTGGCCACATCCACAGTGGACCCTTACTTCTTGGCCTCCAGGACCTTTTGTTCTTTAATGAAAAAAGGTCACAAAGTCTCTTGCTAATATGGGTTATGGAAATTGATACTTAATTTTTTAGAAATTAAAATTGCAGGATGTTTCAAAGTCCTTTTTGTTTTGGTTTGAGAATCTGTAATACCTTTTGGTTTTAGAAAGTATATGACGACTACACTCAACAAATTCAATTCATTGTTATTTAAACTCTTACTGGGCTCAAAGTGATGCTACAGCTTCACTGATACTAGAATAATGTAACATTCTGTTTATTAAACACAATAAAACATATTAATGCCTATGAAGCTGACAGGAAGATACTTACCATTATAACTTCTTCCACAAGATAAGCATTAGATTTCTCCTTAAAAACCCTGGAGGTCAAAAGGAAATGGATTAGTACGTGCTGTGTTGAATGAAAGAGCAAAGCAAAACAAAAGGAAAAAACCTTCTGAACTAAGAATTCTGTAGCCAGCAAAACTGTCCTCCAAAAATGAGGGAGAAATTCAAATATTCCCAGATGCAAAGCATTGTGGGATTTATTTCCCTCCTACTAGGCTGCCCTGGGTAAAGGGGGTCCTTCAGGTTGAAATAAAAGGACATTAGGTAGAGACTCAAACCTGTTTGAAGAAATAACTCTGTTAAAGGTAAATACATGGATATTTATCTAAGTCACGACTAGTTTTGTGTTCTACATGATGTGAGAGACTCATGTATGAAAACAATAAAAGTATAAGACTCTACTTTCTGGACACAGTGTGCCAGGCATGGATGAAGCCACAAACCCAGTCACCCAAAGGGGGTGAGGATGGGGCTTTGGGGACAGCATTTTATATGTGGCTAAGTTTAGCTGGCACAAATTCACACCGGAGTGGTGTGACCTTAGGATTTTCAATGTAATGCCCATGGTATCCTCAAAGAAAATACCTAGAGTATGCACAGATGAGAAGAAAACTCAAACACTCACTCCGAAAGAAGGACTCAAAAGACAGCAGTGCAGAAAACGAGGGACAACAAGCCGAAAGGCGAGTGGGAGATAAACAGCCAACTGGCAGAGGGGAGCTCTTCCTAAGCACTAAAGCCCTTCCCTGTGAAGGGGCACTACCCTCCCACTCAGAGGCAGAGACTGGGAGAAGGGCTGGGAAACACGGTGCAATTAGATCCAAAGGCAAAAAAGGTAGAAAAGGAAAGTGAACTGAAGGTCCTCTCCGCCAACTGTAACCCAAATACTAATGTCGGAACAGGTTTTCAGTCAAGATAAGGTTACAGGAGATAGAGGGACGTGACGTCAGTTACTAATAAAAAGTTCAAGCCAGGCGTGGTGTCACATGCCTGTAATCTCAGCACTCAGGAGGCTGGCAGGAGGATCTCTGCAAGTTCAAGACCAGTCTGTGCTACACAGTGACTTCAAGACCAGTCTGAACTACATAGAGAGACCCTGTCTCAAAAAACAAAAAAACTAATAAAAAGTTCGACCCAGGGCCGGGGATTTAGCTCAGTGGTTTCGCCGCCTGTTGTGCAAGCACAAGGACCCGAGTTCAATCCCTGGTACCAAAAAAAAAAAAAAAGTTCAACCCAGCAAGAAAATAACAAGATTGAAACAGTGAAGCATAGGAAATAGTTCATAGTGTATTCATCTCATGCTTTAGTTCCCAAGACTCTCCGGAGATGTCCTCTACATTCTGCCACAGGGGCAGGCTCTATATCTATCTATAGCCACCCAAACCTGGGAGGAAGGAATCCTTCTACAAAGGAGTTCATTGTTCCATCTCTGAGTCAATAAATGCTTAGTGGACACCTACTATGAGTGAGACATGTTTTTGGTGCTGTCGATAAGATGGATACAGTCTCTGATCTCCCAGGGCTCACATTCTAGTGGGCTGATAGACTAAAAGCAATTTGATTGATTGTTAAAATATTTTTTGCATTAGAACTTTCTAAAATTTTTGTTGTTTATTTTATGAAAAAATAAAACCATTTCATAACTCTTGTAAGAGTAATAATGAGCCATGAAACAGGCCTGTTTAGATAGGGCCTCAAAAAAGTCTGTCTACAGGAGGTGTCATTTAAGCTGAGAGAGACCAGCAGCATAAGAGAAAAGATCTGGCCCTGGGAACAGTGTAAGAGAACATTAGGTGAGGGAACAGTGCAAAGGCCTACAGTGGGAAAGAGTTTGGATTGTTGGAGGAACTGAAGATATCCAGCTGTGGTGACCTGAGAAACCATAGAGTGAAGTATTTGAGAAGAGATTAGAGTCTAGACAGGGACTAAATCATAAGAAACCTTTTAGGCCACAGTAAAGAGTTTGAGTTTTATTCTGGGAGCTATGGAACCCATTGGAAATTCTCAGCAAGGAGCTTGACTTGCTTAGGACTAAAGTGTAAGTTTAGAGAAGGATGGGAGTGGAGAGGGCTCTGAAGAAGCAGGGGAGGAGAGTGGCCTTCAACCTGGGGCTGCTGGAGCTGCTCTGGGGACTTGGAATAGGAGTAGGATCTTCCAAGGTGTACCCTGTGCCAGCAGTCCCAGGAGGTGCTATGTCCCTGACTTTCCCAGTGCCCCGTGAGCTGATTGTTGGTAGGGATAGTCTTGTTATCTGTTGCTGTGCAACAAACCACCCCAACATGTAGTGGGCTTAGAGCAACAGGAATTACCCAGGAATCTGAAATGTGGGGAGAACCTGAGGAGATGATTTTTTTTTTCCTATTCCATGTCATGCCTGAGGCCTCAAATGGGATGAGTCCAGTGGCTGGGCTAGGCAGCCAGAGCTGGCTGAGCATCCTACTCTTTTCAAGTAGGCTCCAGGCAATTCTGCAAGGTTTCTCATGGTGCCCTGAGGAGAGCTGAATATCTCCTACAGCAGGTCAGGCACCAGAGAGAACTTAAACTCCAGGAAAACAAAGTAGGAATTCCAAGGGCATTTTGATCTAACTCCAGAAATTACAAGTCCACCTACACCAGATTCTGTTACACTGGGCCAGCTCTAATTTTTATGGGGAGGGGACCACCTAAGGGTACAATCATGAGATTCTTGGAAACTGGCTAATAAGAGCTCATACTTTTTGAACACTGAATGTCGGGGAGGAATGTTTTGGGGACTCCCAAAGGGACTTGTTCAGGGACCTAGAGATGATTGTGGTTGTGCTAATACCTAGGTTTCCAGAGAAGAGCAGAAGTACTTGGGTCAGGAAACCGCTTCAGAAACTGATTGGAGAAAACGTGATGAATGGTGAGTGGGCTGGTGCAAGAGGATCCTGAAGGCAACCAAGAGGTCTTGCAGAAGCCGTCAGAACCGAAGTGGAGTCACCTGTGTCAAATCCTAACAGAAATAAATAAATAAAGCTAGGAGGTTATGACCGAAGGGAATCTCATGCCTGTAGGCCTGCTAATAAGAACTCTGACAAAAGACTTCCAGAACCACGGCCTTGTTTGCAGGCCACTTCATAGTTCTTCAAGGACATCTGCCCAGCACCTACTGTCCAACTATATTGGTCAGTGACTGCTAGAGAAGCAGATTTCATCCAAGATCTACAAATATATACAAATTTACAAAATTGGCTTACAATGGCCATCTGCAGAGTCGGGTGTGTAAGAGCGCAAAAGGGCTGTCCGTGCACTGGAGATCTGAAGGATCCAGGCAAAGGCCTGGAGGTCAGTGTGTGTCCTGTGCAAGTCCTTATCAGGAGGCCACAGGGTCTGTGATGGAGGCTGAAGAGTCTGCACTGGAAGCCAGGAGATGATGGCCAAGGTGAAGGTGAAGGTGAAGTGTAGGGCTCCCCTAGAAACAGCAGTAAGCCTTCCTGCTTCATTTCCCTTTTACACCATTTAGGCAAAGAGCCTTCCTAGGGTGGGGCTTCTGACTTCAGTAAATCCCCGAAGCACGCCCAGAACTGTGCTGATCTAATTTAGATGGGGGTTTCTTACTGAAGTTGACACTATCGGTTAACTATCACACCAGCCTCGTGCTGATGCCACCCTTGTTATTGATCCTTGAAGTCAATAATTGTTTCGGGCCGGGGATTTAGCTCAGTGGTTCTGCCGCCTGCTTCCCAAGCATAAGGTCCCGAGTTTGATCTCCAGTACCAAAAAAAAAAAAAGAAACAATAATTGTTTCAAAAAATGTTATATAATCCTTTTCATTTTACCTTTAGAAGCTGTTGTCTTTCTTTGCCTGGTTGGATACACTCACATGTATTCCCATTGCAATGTTCATTCCAGAATAAATTCATTATCTTTGAAGAATCTTTCTCCATTTGTTATTAGGTTGAAACTTTAAATGAGGTATTTGATAACTTTTTGCTATGTGGTATGTGAAGTTGGTCCCCTCTCCCTTCTGTCCAAAAATTGTTTCAGTAAATGATTTCTTTTGTTAATGCATTGTGGATTTCTTCTGAGAGATACATCAAATGCTGAATTCTGTTTCAGGGAGGGTTTAGGATGAGAACAAACACTGCCCAGAGGAGCCTGACCACACTTGGGATAGATACTAAAGAACAAAAGAAAAACTTAAAAAAAAAAACAGTAAATGAATCTTGGAATTTCTATAATCCTCTAGTAGCCAATTATGATCCCTGGCAAACTTGTAATCACTTCTATCCAGCCTCCAGCCAAATTCCTGAACTGGCTTGTTCCATTCCCATCTCTTTCTATCACAACTTCTCTTTTCCTTTCTTTTCTTCTTTCACATTGTGGGTTTACAGATTTAAGTAATTTTGGTAACATGAACTCTGTGCTTCTTTAGAACAGAGGAGAATTCCTTAGGACTAAAGGATTCTCTAGTTGTCTGATGTGTATTGAATTCTGTCAGACATGACAATGTGCAATGGGGAATTCTGAGAAAAGATGGAACTCAAAGTCAGCAAGAGAAGTAATTCTGGATTATTCTATGAAACAGGAAGACGCAGCTGCCACAGAAGAGGTAGGAAGGAACAAAATGCTGCAGCTCTTCAGAGTTGACTATCATTGGGGACAGTAGAGGGTGGAGGGTCTTGAAGAGCTTTATAGAAAGGACAGCACCTAAGCTAACCCTTAAATCCAAGGTGACAATTTGTACTTGAAGAGATGAAAGATTTGTAGCTTAGGGACTGAGTAAAAGGGTCATCCCAGACCTACCTACGCTGCCTTTCACGTCAGAGCACTGCTGACCTATGTCCAGGCTCCTGCTGGGCCATTTCCTCAGTGTTTTCCTGGCCCAGAAGTCAGCTTCATAGAAATGTCAGGCTCTAGGCTTCTCCACTCACCCCTCAAGTTTCCTTTTCAACAGTGATCTGGGAACAGCCTTCTACCCTGGCTACCCAGTGAAAGAAGGAAAGAGCTGGTACTGAAAAGGGCAGTAGAATGAATAATATTACTGGAAGACTCAGACGCAGGGAGGGAAATTGAGCCCCAGAGAAAGAACACAAAACTGTGTCTTCTTAATTGTCATGAATAAGTAAATTCATGCCTATGTCTGTCTGTTGCCCCACCTTGTCTATGAGCTCCTCAGGGATGTGAGCTGAGCCTCACCCATATGGGATGCCCCACAGAGCCTGGCACATTGTAGGTGATCTCTATATGGTAGGTGAACTAGTATTCTGGGGCTTAGGGCACTGATGCTCAAAGCATGGTCCCAGGGCACCAGCATAAGCTGGGAACTCGATGGAGAAATAAATTCTTGAGGAATCACCCCTGACTTACTGAATCAGAAATTATAAAGACTGAGTAAAGCAATCTGTGGTTTAATAAACCCTCCTTTAATAAGATTCTGATGCAGGTAAAGTTTAAGAATCATTATTGTAGGCTGTCTGAGCCTCCAGAAGACTTGCTTGGGTCTCCTTTGGGACATCAAGAACTCAGCTGCTTTTTACTTGTGATAGACATACTTATGCTTTTATGCCCCCACCTTTTGGCATAAAAGAGAGAGAGAGGGAGAGGGAGAGGGAGAGAGAGAGAGAGAAAGAGAGAGAGAGAAAGAGACTAGTGACCAGGAAAAAAATAAATCATTAACGACAGGTTGTTTTTCTTCTTGAAAAACAGAAACTTTCCTGGAAAAAATATATTCAACAATTTTTAAAACAGACTTTTTATAGGATAGAAATAGCAAGAAACATGTCAAAAAATTTAGAGCTGTGGTTTTATGTGAAACTGCCCTTCCTCCCAGATAAAACCACATGCTCGTCCTCTTTGTCAGTCTTCAGTGTCATCCCTGATGATTCCCAGGAGCTGCCATCAACAAGTTTCCTTCTGAACTGGAAGAGCGGATCTAAGTCATCATTCTCTTACTCACTGACAATGCTCCTGGACTCATGGGACAGGGAGAATTGGTGGGATCCTCTGTCTGGTGTGTGCATTACCTGGCAAATGTGGACTACAAGGAAGATTTGCATATATTCATACAGGATCATTCCCCAAGGGACTTTGATCCTCACTGGGTGCTCAGTACTATGTAGGCTTTGTACCTGCACAGATATAGTTGTGATTTTATTCCTATCCTCAAGGAACTCACGACCTAGTAGGAAAGTTAATAAATACACCCAAACTAAATAACTTTGTCCTTAGATTAGGGCTTTTGAATTTCTAAAGTGTTTCACATGTGCAGTTTCATTTAATCCTCTGACAGCCCCTGGGGGCAGCACATGATGGCCATAGCAAACTCGAATCTATAGAAACTCAAACATTCTATGAATCCCAAACTCAAGTCTATAGAATGAGCTTGGATAAACTTAAAGGAAATCTCCCTGACTTATGATCATCCATCGGGTGGCTAACAAGGTAGAGTGTAGTCTCAGAAAGACAAGTGAGGGTTGTGATCATATCTAAGTGAGTTTAAATCTAACCAGTTATACGAGACAAGATCTGAAGGGAGGGGAAAAGAAACATTTATAGAACATGTCCTTTTAGCTGATCCTCACTTAACAGACTAGCCAGCTTAGCAGAAGCACTATTTTCTCTGCAAAGTGGCCTGATGAGTGTCCACATCTCACTGGTCTCTTCTGTGCCAAGAATGTCAGCTTTTACCGACTGTACCATGTGCTTTCCTAGAGCCCATTGGATTCATTCCCAAACCCATTTTTGCCAGTTGTGCTAGTTTGTAAGTACACCGCTAAATAAAATATTGGTAGTATGTTAACTAACGAAATAATGAATTCTTGTTCTTATGAAAATTAAATTGACTTCTATGGAGAGAAAACAAAAATCATTTGGTTAAAATAAAGATTTTTGAATAAATATGACAATATATTGAATAAATAAGTTCTTGAATATGAAAGCTGTGATTCTGATGAGAATTGTAGAAATCTAAACGTCTTCTGCTCTAAAATTGCTTCATAACCAAATTTATGCTCTCCATTCATTTTAAAGGTGTTTAGGAGCTGAAAATTATAGATGATACCTCAGGAATTGCTTTATAATAGAGAAATGAGGTAGATTTTGAAGAAAATGCTTTACTTCTATACCAAAAGTTAGGTAATTAAGGTACATTTAAATGTTTTAGAAAAAATGTATGTTTTAAATAATTTCCTCACTGCTTTCCAATTAACATTTTCAATTTAATTTTTAAAATTCCATCAACAAACTGCAGTTCTCAGATTTGTTAGCAGGCTGGTACATCTGGAAGGAGTCTAGACAAAGAAGAATCAAAGAGATGAGAACAATACAGTGGTGTTCTCTAAGGCTGTTCGTCAAAGAGGAGCAGACTGGAATAACTGTCTCTTGGAACCCTCTCCTAATGGAAGATACAATTAAGTTTGTCATAGATTGATGTCTTTGGCCATTGGGATTGTTCAACATTCCTCTTGTTCTGATTTGCTTTTCACCAAGAAATCCTCTTTACCATCTGGCCACCCATGTGTATATTCTCCCTCAAGACAGAAGTACTTCAGTATTGATTCCTGAAACTGTTAACATTTTCATTATAAATTAGTGAATTATTACAAGAATGTTTAATTGATAGGAGAAACTACCTACTGCTTTTCTGAAGCTTCTAGTGAAGGCATACCTCAAAAAGGGTGAAAGTCATTCAACAATGTTAATATATCCACCAATTTTTAAACATTGACAGTGTCAGGTAAAAGGGCCGAAGACCAAGACCAGACCAGGCCACAACAAGCCTTTATTAGGGGAATAGATCTGCCAGGCTGTTTCTGAACAAAGGAGAGACAAAAGCAATATGGCCGGGGCAGAGAGAGTCTTTTAAAGAGACTAGGGTGGGGTTTGTAGGGGCTGAGGTGGGGTTGAGTGAGGTAGTGACTAGGGAATGGAGGAGCCCGTGATGTCACTAGGTGGTAGGAGGTGAGCGAGTATTAGGTTACTTTCTAGGCGGGAACAGGGGCATGCTGGGAAGAAGGGTTTGTTCTTTGGTGGGAGCAACCATCTTGGCATGATGTCACACAGGGGAGGGGGCAAGGCACGATAGGAAGAGGGCAGCTACTATACATAATAGCTGCTGAGGTAGTGGGAGACCTATCAGACAGCAGACTGAAAAGGTTCACTACCCTGTGTGGTTCAAATGAAACCACCAGTTTGCAACTTATGCTCTAGAATCCATGATGAAGAAGGAGACATTCTAAAAAAAGACAAAGCCAAGCAACTTAGAGCATTGTCTGTTGGCTCCATGCTTTGTGTGACCCGTGAAATGTAGAGGTATTAACATCAGGTAGCACAGTAGGCAGTTGGCCCAGGGAGAGTTAAGCACTTCTGTGTCCCTTCAACAACCAAAACAATGGCAGTTATATTGATTATTGGCCACCTGTCATGTGCTAGGTACTCTGCATTTGAAAAGCATTTCATTTTTACAGCAAATTTATGAAGGAATTGAGACTCAGGGATGTGAGGTAGCTTCCCCAAAGACAGAGATTAGGATTTGAATATATTGTTTGGCTTCAAAGCTCCTGCCATATACCACCTTGAATGTCTATGGTTACAGTAATCACTTGTTGAATGTTGTGTTCAGCAAGATGCTGAACACAAATACATCATATGCACAAATACATTAACATATATAATTCTATTTCATTAAGTGTATGTAAGAGCTTCCATGGAACTTTGTGTCTCTCTTAGTCTCTTGGTTTTTTGGTGGTTAGAATAGAGTGGTGGAGATGCAAGGATTTGATCTTGCCCTATATTTTTTCGGTAAGTTATCAAATGGTAGAAAGATAATACGATACAAGGCAAAGATGCAGTCCTTCTAGTGAGACTGCTCTGTTTTATGTTAGCTGTGTCACTTTCTGATCTAGTAGCCCTTTATAAATTGTTACTTCTCTAAG